AGTTAGTTACTTAAAGTTAGTTGATTAAAGTTAGTTAATTAAAGTTAGATGATTAAAGTTAGATGATTAAAGTTTGTTAATTAAAGTTAGTTAAAGTTAGTTGAAGTTAATTGGTTAAAGTTCGTTAATTAAAGTTCGTAATTAAAGTTAGTTAAAGTTAGTTGATTAAAGTTAATTAAAGTTTTTTGAAGTTAGTGTCGCTCTGGGTTTTAAATTGTCATTCGTTGAACCTTTATTTGGACAGGTTAGTCTCATCGAGGACTCGTCTACAAGAAAGACCTGATTTAGACAAAGAACAGAAGAGCAACAAACAATAATAGACAGTCGTGTGAAAAACATATAAAATGAAAAGTAAACTGAGGAGATTAAATCAAAACGAGACAAAAACTTCTACAGTATAAAGTGATGTAAAACAGTAAAAAATAGCAGGGGGGGTCTCAAATCGTTTGCAGGGGTTCTCAGTTGCCTCTCGTGAGTCTGCAGAGTCTTGAAGCTCGAGTTCTGCAGATGTTCTCGGGTTTGAAGGGTTCCAGACTTCGTGTTCCAGCTTCTTCCACTCACGTTCAGGGCCAGTCTGGGCTGGTTTTAGACCTCGTGTTTTTCCAGTCAGGTCTGGTTGAACAAGCGTTGCTGAGCGCTCTTTGTTTGGGACATTTCAGACGAGCCAACAGGAAGAAATGTTTCCTCGTGGTGCGATCAGGTAAAGAAAGATGCTACTATGAGACGTTCAGGGCCGTTGAGGAGGAGAACAACTTTGACCGATAGTTGTAATTTGGATGAACCTTTACAATCACACAAATCTTGAGACTGAACAGGGAACGTGTGAGTTTCACCGACCTTCGTTCATGTCTGTTCAGTGGACTACACCAGGAAGGCTACCTGATTGAAGCAAGTCTCTCGGTTGACGACGGCTCCTTCAGTCGAGGTTGTCACCTGACATACCGGTTTGGTGTAAAGCAAAGAAATAAAGAAGTTTTGGAATTGGCCACAAGATTTCTTGAAATCCCACCAGATCCAATCAATAAAGGTAAAGTCTAAGACTTGACGTGACCAACATTAGTCCTGCTTTGTTCCAGTCCACTCCTAATCACAAACCCGCTTGTGCTTTCTCCAGAACTTCATCTTTATGAAGGATTCATCTGCCACCGGGATGTCCAAACGTTTCTTAAGACCAGCCTTCACAAAGTTGGACTGAGGAGGTCCACAGCTGAGGAGATTTCAGACGCTTGGCAGACCGCAGCAACGGTTCTGCTGAACAGAATCTTCCAGAAATGGACTCCATCAGACAAACAGAGCACTGACAGCCTTTGTCAGAACTTGATGCATTTTATTTGGAGCTTCGGTTCTGCCCCAAACAGGATGAGTTACCCGGACCACTCCCGGCCTCTCATGGTCAAGGTTGGTTCTGTGAGACCTGCTAAAGTCTGCTTTACTTTCCCTCCAGCGGTCCACCAGTAATAAACGTTTATCTGCAGGTGTCAGAGCTGATTTCAGAGACTTTGGTTCAGATCTTAAGAGGAGCACCAAGGGAGAAAGTCCCAGGCAGCTGCAGGAACACCAGTCCGCTGGTTCTGGGTCTGTCTGTCTTTATGGTCACCAGATTCTGTAACATCAACCTCGGAGTTAAAGGCTGGGCTGACCTGTGTCTCCTGGTGTCCTCAAAGACCGCGATGGACAAGAAGAACCAGGAGCAGTTGTCTGCGTCTTTCCCTAACCCACAACAGTAAGTTTTCTCGCAGTTTGTGCATCACTTGTGTTTCTTTTTGTGTTGTGGCTTCATTTTCACAACTTCCTAAAATCTGAACCACCTGAAGAAATGTCAGAACCTGCGTTTACCGTGTCCTCTTATCAAAGACGATCTGTTCCTCAGCACCGTGTTGGGTCTGATCAACCTCTGCGTCCAGTTTATGGTGGTGGAGCTGGTCCTGCTCCTTCCTCTGCTCTTCAGGCTCAGGCAGCCTGGAGCCGATGCCACAAAACTGGGTCCGACTGTCGAGGAGGAAAACTGGTCCGCGCTCAACGGCGTCCCATTCGTCAGATTTAGAGAGCAGCTGCAGGTCCACCAGGACAAAAGAAGGTGAGTCTGAAAGCTGCGTTCATGTTTTGACTTCCGTTGAACAGATTTATAACAAACTCGCCTTCTGTTTGCAGGAAGCTGCTCGCAATCATCCAGAAACACTTAGCAGCCGCTGAAGAGACGCCTCTGCTCCTGCAGAGCTGGTCGTCTCTGATCGCTTCTGATGACCTGTGTGCGTATTCGGACCTGACCGGAGCCGCTTCAGAACACCTGATCCAGAGTCTGCTGTACAGACTCCGCAGGTGTGCAGAGGAAACGGATCTTAAGGACAGCATAATAAAGGTAAAGAGAAGCGAGCAGCCGTAATACTTCTGATAAAACTTTGTGTTTTTAATCTTTGCTGTGTCTGCAGTTTGTTCAGAACGCTTTGAGCCACATCCTGCTGAAGGTGGAGCGAGACAAGGACAGGTACAGGACGAGAACTCACTGCTGAAATCTACTGGACAAGCTAAAACCAAAAGTGACAACACTAGCTAAAGGCACCTCAAAGAGAGCTGAAAAATACCAGTAGCTAAAGGGTGGCTACATACTAAACATATCAAAAATGTTAGCTAGAAGCTAAAGCCAAAAGGTTAGTTGAAGTTACAGTAGCTAAAGAGTAGCTAAGAGTAACAAAACACTAGCTCAAAGTAGCAAAAGGCTAGTTATATGCTAAAGTAGCAGAAGAGTAGCTAAAACTATTACCGTAAATGCTAGCAAGAAACTAAAAGTAGCAAAAAGCTGTCTAAAAGCTATAAGTAGTGGAACAATAGCTAAATATGAGCTAAAAGCGAGTTTTGAATCAGCGTTTTTCTTCACGCTGCGGCTGATTTTCTGGTTTTAACTTGGTGTTTTCAGAATGATCGAGTCAGGAAACGTGCAGCCAGTGTTCCTGAGCAGCATCAGCGTGGTGAGGACCGTCTGCAGGATCGCTCGGGTCGTCCCGTGGTACCACGCAGTGGTCCTGTCCTACCAGCTGCTGCTGAAGATGGCAGACATCATGGAAGTGAAGCTAAGAAGGGAGGTAAGAATCAACACGTCTCCTTCGGTGTCCTAAGCAGCTGCGCCGTTAGCTAATAGTTTCTGTTTTAGTCCAAAGAGGAAGAGTTTGAGCCGTTGAAGCAGAAGCTCCTGCAGGAGGTGTCAGCCGCGCAGCAGAGGATCAGCGAGTGGAGAGACGACCTGCTGCAGAAACCTCTCATGACCGACAAAAAGCTCAGCTACCCAAAGGAAGTCCAGGTATGCAGCAGGCGGCGCTTCTTAAAAATATTTAATTAAAAGGTAAAAGGGGCTCGCGGTGGTGACCCCTGGAGAGAGACAACAAGCCTTTAGCTAGTGTTCTTCTACTTTTAGCTTTTGGCTCATGCTTTGCTCCATTTACCTAGAATATGGCTCATTTTTGCTAGTGCTTTGGTGCTTTTAGTTTAAGGCTAGCATTTTAGCTTTTAGCAAGCGTTTAGTTAAATTTAGCTTTTGGCTAATTTTAACTAGTATTTTGGAACTTTTAGCTTTTGTCTCGTGTCCCTATTATTTACAGTTAGTGTTTTTTTATTGTTTGTTTATAGTTTATTATATAAAAGTAGATATTTTATAAAAAGCCTCCAGGTCCGGAAAGTGATGCCAATTCAGAAATGTGTTAAATTTGCCGTCTCCGCTGTGGCCAGCTGGGGAGGATCGTGATACTTTCTAAAATAATCCAGATTGAACTGAAGCCTGTGAAAAGAAAACTTTTAACTTTTTGACTTTAGTAAAGTTTTATGGTCTTTGCTGAAAGCTGCACATTTATCTTTTATGCTGTTATTAACAAAGAAAAGGCTAAAGGGTGTAAAATAATAATAAATGTGTTTATTTATGTTCCTCTGCAAAGTTCAAACAGTTTCTACTAATCGACACTTGTTAAACTGACATTTGTCTTCCTAAGAATTATTTGTAGTTGACTGAATGTAATCATGAAATTAAACGATCATGTTTTTGTTGTCAGCTGTGGGATTCGCTGCTGAAAGCTGAATGCTCCTCTGAAGATGTCTCCTCCTGCTGGAAGGCGAGCCTGAAGAAAGACCTGAAGAAGAGGATATCTAAGGTCAGTGAGATCCTCTTGGTCCTTTCGAGTCGCTCCAGGTCCAGACTCAGACCTGCTCCGATGGTTGACGTCCTCCTTTGACCAACCTGAGGTTTTGTTTGTTTGCAGCTCAGTGATGAAGATAAAGTTTTGCTCTGCTGCCTGGACTCGACTTCAGCAGCTGTGAGGGAAAGTCACGATGACGTACAGGCCTGTTTCCATGAAGCGTTTTACGTGGCCATCAAGACGATCTGCCAGGTTCCTCTAAATACACAAGCTGTATCATTATTATTATTATTATTATTATCATTATTATCATTATCATTGTTGTTATTATTATTATTATTATTATTGGACCAATTTTAGTTTTGCAACCGTAGAATTTTAAACCGCCTGATCCAGTTCTTCAGACGTTTAGCAGTTGATCTCATCTTCTGAAAAATCTTTGAAGAGCCACCGTTGCTGCCTTAAAGCAGTAAATTCACAAACACGTGTGGATGCTGTTAACAGTTACAGATTCATGCATTTTTATTTGTGTTGTAACAAAACCTGCTGATATATACTTTAGGATGACGCATGTTCACTGATGGCAGAAGAAGGAATAAAACGGTCCCGTCTCACGTTTGTCTGTTCGTAGAGAGGAGAGGAGGGAGACCTGATGCGAGCGCTCGGCTCGAGGATCAAAGATCTTCCGGTTGTTTTCACGTCGGCTGTTGTGGTCGAGTCTGCAGCACGGTTCAGAGACAACGTGGTGGTCCAGCTGCTGGATCCACAGTCCGCCTTGAACTTCCTGCTCTCCAACCGTTGGTCATTTATTCATTTATATCAAACTCCAGTGTGAACGCGGATCCAACACTTTTTATTCTTCTGTGCCGTTGTTTTCAGTTACGTCTTCAAACTACTTACGGTGCATCGAAATGTTCAGCTCAGTCAGGAAGAGTGTTTTATAATGTTAGGTTTTTTTACAACAGTGATACTTTTATAATATTTAACTTTAATTAAAGTAAAATTCTCATAGACACTGTCAGTCCCCTCAAACATTTTGTATACTTTTAAAATTGTTGTCTTCTTATGCTACTTTTAGCTACCATTTTGTTACATTTAGCTATTGTTTAGCTAATTTTAGCTTTAAGCTACTGTTGCACCATTGCTACCTTTAGCTACAATTTTGTTAAATTTAGCTTCTGTTTTGCCCATTTTGGCCTTACCATCTGTTTTTCTTATTCTAGTTACTATTTTACTCTTTTTTTTCATTCAACCTTTATTTAAACAGGTTCGTCTCATTGAGCTTCAGGGACTCGTTTACAAGAGACACCTGAATTTTAGCTTAACCTAAATGCCTTAAAGTTTAAAGATTGCCAACTTCAGCATCTCTTTCTATTATCAGCTACTGTTTTGCTAATTTTAGCACGAGTTTTACTGATCTTAACTACCAGTTTGCTGCATGTAGCTTGAGCATGTGTTTTGCTGCTTCTAGCTTCTGTTCAGCTTAATTTTTCTTTCACATCTGTTTTGACGTTTTAGCTGCTGTTGGGCTAATTATAGCTTTAGCATTTGTTTGTAATTTTAGCCTCTGTTTTAGCCATTGTAGCTGTTAGCTTCTGCCCTGCTGCTTTCACTGCTCAGAGTTGTACAGTATTTCCTAACGTGTCACTGAAGTGAGTGTTTTTTGTCTCAGGTGACTGGAGGTCCATCCAGGTGGACGACACTGCAGGACAGGTGGTCCACAGCTGCGTGGAGGCTGTTAAATCTCTCGTTGTGTCTCTGCTTGAAGGAAACGTGTCCCTTGGACACCTGCAGATCTGCCTGAAATACCAAGAGCAGTTTAAGAGACTGTACCTGCAGTGTACGAACCCTCTGCTGTGAATAATTTAAATAAAACTTTAACACGAGCTCTGAATTAACAGCTGCTTCGTTTCTCTCGCAGACAAGAAGAACACAAAGTCGGTCGTCGTTCCTGTCGATGCAGAGGTGATTCTGACTCAGAGAGACACGGATCTGAAGTCTTTCCTTCACCGCAAACAGGAAATCAACACACTGATCAAGATGATGGCAAAAGTTACAGAGAGCATCACAGGTGGGCGGAGCTAAAAATGATGACGCGCTCTGTTATCCTCCTCATTATTATCGCCCGCTGCCAAAAGGCGAAATGCGAGCGATAATGTTTTTACTTGTGTCTGCATGAACGCGTGGGGTTGCTTTTGTCTGCCTGTTAGCAAAATATCTCCTGACCCATTGGATGGATTTAAATAAAACTCAGAAAATAATTACTGGATAAACGTCCACAGCTGCTTATTTTTTAGAGACGACCAAGTTCAAGATGGCCACCACAGCTAACCGACCCTAGCCCACACAAAATGGCTTTAACTCAGTCAATTTTATGGATAATGAGCTAAAATGAGATGTTTTCATACCTAAGAGTTGTTCACAACACATACTCCAAATGAAAATACTTTTAATTAGTGTTTTGCTTCTTTTAGGTAACTCTTTGCTGTTTTTGAACAACATTTGACTACTTTTAATCTGACGCAGTCCTTTACTCCTTTTAATTTTAGCTCATCTTTGGAAACTTGTGGACAACCTTTAGCTATTCTTGGTTTTTAGCTAGTGTTTTGATAGTTTTAGCTGGAGTTCAGCGCTCAGCATTGACACTGTTTATTTCTCTTAACTGAAATGATTTGCATCATGTTTTCATGGCTCAACAGTTCCTGAGATGTCGACTCTTGAGGAGCAGCACAGTGCGGACCTCCATGCTGTGAGCCTGAGCCGACTGGTGCTGGTTCAGTCCTTCAGTGCAGACGGGAAGCTGCAGAAGACTGGTCCTCCACAGGTCATCTGGTATAAAACCAGCATAAATGTCCTCAAAATGTCCTGTGAGATGCACAAACTGCATCACAGCAACCTGATTCTGTCCTCGTGGGTAAAACACTCAGCATCTTTAGCGTCAATGAGGCTTCCCGCCCCACCCCCTGTCCAGGTGAGCCTCGCACAGATCTGCGAGAACATCTGGAACCCCGTGCTGAAGGAGTTCCTCCAGCTTGGCGTCAGCATTGCCGAGGCGAATGTCACGCTGGAGGAGCTCGATCGGGTGTTGGTGGAATCTGGTGACCGGGGTGACGGCACGCTGCTGAGGAATGAGCTGAATCTCGTGTTGGAGATGGTTTCTGCAGCTGCAGAGGTTACCCCTGAGGAGAACTGTGTGGACTCGAGGCTGGCTCAGATCCAGAAGTACCGCCAGCTTCACGAGGCAGCGGCTGCAGCCAGAGCCGTGCTGAGCATCGCAGACAAGATGAAGCTGACCGGAAACTTCTCCGCTATCGACCCCCTCAGACAACTGGTAATACCCTGACCTTCTGACCTCAGTGGCTTTCTAGTTCTCTGTGGTTAAAAATCCTAAATGGACCGTTCTGAACAGACAAACTTGACCAAACCTACTTGATAAAGTTTGATTATTTATTTATTTTACCGAAGATAGAAACAGGTTGTGATTTAAGTTTGGTCTTGAGTGTAAGAGTTCATCTTTCCATCCCGTGCCGTCAGATGTTAAGGTGTTTGTTCCTGTGACTGTTCAACAGGATGAAGGCTCCTTTAAGCAGCGGCTCCTGCGGTCGCTCACTGACGACCTGTTTGATGCCAGGCAGCAGCTCTCCACCGTCAGCAGGCGGCACACCGCATGTCTGGAAGAGTTTCTGAAGAGCCACTCTCTGGTCCGCTGGGTCAAAGACAACCTTAAAAGTAGGAATTTAGCATTTATTAATGTACATGATCTTGTAGAAGGTCCCCGTCAGCTCACCGCTCTGTTCCGCTAACAGCTATGAGCGATGTGAAGGTTTATGTCGACCTTGCGTCGATATCTGCCGGAGAGAACGACGCGGAGATCGACCAGGTGGCCTGCTTCCACGATTCAGTGACGGGCTACGCTCCGCTGCTCTACTCCCTCTCCCCTCAGGCGGGCTTCAAGGACTTCATGAAATGTGCTCAGCAGGTGTGGGACGCCCAGAGCAGAGACGAGAGGCTCCCTGACAAGCTGGTAATCATTGCACTGTTCTGTGCAAAAGTCTTGAGTCATTCAAGATTAAACTTTATTTGTCACATCCACAGTCATACAATGATGACAACACATTATTATTATTATTATTATTATTATTATCATTATCATTATCATTATTATTATTATTATTAATAATAAAGTAAGCTACTACTTATACTACTTGTAATAATACAAAGTTTGTTTTCTCAGTCATCCAGGTATATAACAACAAAAAAGGTTGAATCATGTCATCTGGACTTCGTTTTTTTGTTAAAAAGAAACGTTTCGCCCCTCATCCAAGAGGCTTCGTCAGTCTGAGGCCTAGCCATCTGGTATTACCCAGAAGCCACCCTGACTCTTGTGTTTCAAGCCTGCCTCAGATACCCCTGAAGTCTGGCCTTTTCACTAATGGTTAG